CGTAGTCATTGGTAACGAGACAGACCCGATTTTCCCCTCCACTGAGAAGATTGACTAATTAACAGCTAAGTACTAATTACCTTTGCGGTATTCCGTCCCAGGGCAATAAAATTTATCTTTCTCGCCCCTGAGAGAAACAATCGCTACGTCTTCGCCGAGAGGTTAAAACTTTTATCGCGAGGGAATTTCGCGATACACGATAACGCGAAAGTTCAATATCGCTCCTGTGCGAATTAGCCATATTTATTTTTCGAAATTCAAATTTGTCACGATTCTCACTACATATACATTTTTGCGCCGAATATGTCTGAGAATTTCGGGTGAACGTTTTTTATTTTTTATAAAAAAAAATTCGGGATTTCTCGAGAATGATAAATCACCCGATTCCCCCATCCGTTAGAGTGCTCACAATGCGACGGGAGTGCCGAAAAGTAATCTTGATACGAAATAAAAGAAATGACACGAAAAGAAAATGATACATTGAAATCTTAATCTACAAGGTAAAGTGATTTCTAAGGTTGAACGGTTATATACGAATTGCCAAAGATTCGCGAAATCTAAACGATAGCGACAAGTAATACTTCCTTCTGGTATTTTGCCAGGTCGAATAGCAAAAATTTAAGCGTCTCTATCGGGTCCAAGTGTTTTCATTGCGAGACACGTGAAAAGCAGCCCATAGCTCATTCCGTCGCGCACACCACGTACGTATACGTTTTTCGCATGAGAACGGACAAAATGGAAATTCGCCTTGTCGCTTGACATCTTTGCAGTTCCTTCGTAAAGCCTGCACTCGATATAGATATACATTGCGTATATTATGCACGATTCCCATAAGATAAATTGCGACAAAGTCGCATGACCCAACTTCGTCTAGACGACTATAAAAAAAAAATGTCGCTACAACGTAAAGATAATTTTGGATTTTAATTTTTTTTTTCCAATCAACCAACTTTTTTTTTTGAATCCACCCAAAATATAAAAATTTCCATGTCATAGTTATTCTAATCTACCGAAAATTCACCCTCCAATACAATATTTTATTTTCGACCACCCTATAGCAATACGGACACGTATCCTGTTCGAAAGCTTCGTATATCCGCGATACCAACTGTACAAGCAAAATTAATGTAAAGCCTAACCATGTAAAACAAGGTCTCCCTTAAAAATCCCTATAATTCATGGACCACTTGGCAGCCGAGGATCACTCCTTTGATCCAGTCTGAAAAATCGTCAGCCACAAGGGTTAAACAAGCCTATCTCGAATCAGCGTATAACGGGTGTCCCAAAAAGTGGAATAAATTTATCGTCTAAAGAAATTTCGATTTTTACCCAGATCGGTGAAAATTCATGCGTAAAATTTCATCGAGATGAGATCAGGATGCACGGCGTCGCGACGCCATAATCAGCGATCTTCGAAATGTGTGTAATGGTAACGTTCCACCCTTGTAGAATCCCCTCGCGAGATAAGGAAAGCAACCCTCTTCTAACCCAAATCGGGTTCAACCTATAGTAGCAGGAGGTACCAACCCCTGCAGATTCCAAAGGCGGTAACCGCAACCAACCCTTATGGCGAATTCTCAACACACTTCTACCCCGAGCTTCGTCCACGTATATGAACATATATAGTCACCGACCCATAGATAAAACGCATCTGATAAAACGACACATTTTGGTAGTTGTAGACGCTTTCACAAAATTTACGAAATTGTACGCGACGAAGACGACGGCGTCGAAAGAAGCGGTAGAGAGTTTGAGATATCATTTTTCAAATTATAGCCGTCCCCATACGATAGTTACCGATAGAGGAAGCAGTTTCACCTCAAGTGAGTTTCAAGAATTTCTCAAAGAAAATAACGTACGTCACGTGCTGGTGGCTACGGGATCCCCACAAGCAAATGGGCAGGTCGAACGCGTAAATCGCGTGTTAGGTCCACTCCTGGCCAAAGTAGTCGACAAACCTTCTGGAAAGTATTGGTATAAGGTGTTAACAGAGGCTGAATTTGCAATTAATAATACGAAAAACAAGTCCACCGGCGATACACCCAGTCGATTACTATTCGGGGTGCCTCAACGAGGTCTAAATATCGATGGAGTAAAAGAGTACTTAGAGGACAGCGATCCACCAGTTGAGCGTGATCTCGAAACAATTTGCTCGAAAGCAGAAAAAAATATTCAGAAAAGTCAAAATTATAATCAGCGTTACTTCAATCAGAGCAGAAAAGCGCCGCGACAATACAAAGAGGGTGATTACGTTGGTATAAGAAACTTTGACAGTACACCGGGAGCACCGAAGAAACTTATTCCCGAATTTAAAGGCCCCTACGAAATAGCTAAAGTCCTCAGGAACGACCGGTATATAGTTAAAGATGTAGAGAATTCCCAATCATCGCGACGTCCTTATGAAGGAACTTGGGAAGCTGCCAACATCAGACCCTGGCGAGACGGAGTAATCATTGCTACTTAGAAATAAGAATTAGAGTTAAAATATAGTATATAAGTAACACTTTTGTTATCATCGATTTAATACCTGTGTCCGAGGCCGGACAATAGATCAGGAAAGGCCGAACTGTGAGGCGATTTTCAAATTGTAATACGCGCCGTACTGTGCGGAACGTTCGGTGCGCGGGAACGACTGCAGCGCCGAGCTACGTAGAGCGGAAGGAACGGGAAGTAGTCAGTCCCAAACGGGAGAAGGAGACGAACGTCCGTCCACGACACTTTTGTTAAAATATACTAATAAATGTTCACACTCTTTAAGCTGAGTTGTCTATTTATTACGGAATAACCCTTACACCTATGACCTCGTACGAACTTCCTGGATACTAAGGTACCTCCAACACATATGGTGACATTGAACTAGGTACACCCGGTAGCTATAACGTAGACATACATATGTTCATTGGTTATATGTCAGATTTTCCCCAGTGGATAGACGCCATTTTGAACTGGCTTATTTAACTTATTAGATTCCCTATTCGAGCAACGTGCGGTTTTGAGTTCGTCTATGTGGATTAATTTTGAGACTGAAATTTGGAATTAGAAATGTCTACCTATGAGATTAGTCAGAAATTGCAGACACTGTTTTTTTTTTTTTTTTTTTTTTTTTTT